TATATATATATATATATATATATATGCAAAACCAAAACATCTAAGTCATTGTGCTATAATTAGATCTGTAGCTCAGTGTTGTATGAAATTCTACAGGCTTGAGACTCAAAGTCTTATAATAGCGTCTTTTAGAGTTTGAAAATTTGATGAATTTATCAATTTTTTCTATTTTGTATCATGCTTTTGATGTCATAGCTAAGAAATAGTTATCTAACTCAAGATCACAAATATTTTTGTGTCTATGATACACTTTGAATTAAATTTCAAAAAAATGGTGCAAGGTATAGACTGAAGTTCTAATCTTTTTATTTTCTTTTTTTGGCACACAGACATACAATTAATTCAACACCTTTTGTTGAAAAGATTATGCTTTCTCCACAGAATTTCTTCACATTTTCATTGAAAGTCAGGTATCTATAAATATGTGTGTTTGTTTCTAGGTTGTCTATCTGGTTTCATTGATTCATTTGTGTATCTTGGCAGCAATACCAAACTGTTGTGATTATTGTTACTTATCTTGAAGTCAGACAGTGCTAGTCTTTACACTTTGATTCTCCTTATGAAAGTGGTTTTTTGTGGCTATTCTAAATCTCTTCTCTTTCCATAAGAACTTTGTGAACCAATTATTGGGATATCATCAAGATTGCATGAGTATATAGATCAATTTGGTGAGATCTGATCTGACATCATTAAAAGATTGAGTCATTCAGCCCAGAAACACAGTATTATTAGTTCTTTACTTTCAGTAATGTATTATAGTTTTCAATATACAGATCTTGACATTTTTTGTTACATTAATGAATAAATATGTTTCTTTTTCGTCTTGGCGGGGGTTTGCAAATGATATATTATAAAAATTTCAATTAGTTCTAGTAGCAGTTTTTGCTTATGCTGTTGTATTTTCTAGGCAGACAATCAGGTCATCAGCAAATCAAATCGCATGAACTGCTCTTTTCCAATACAGATACATTTTATTTCTTTTTCTTCCTGTATTGCAATGACTGAAACTTCCAACAAATTATTAAGTAGAATTTGTAAGTGTAAATATCCTTGCACTGTTTCATTTCTTACAAGGGAAAGCATTAAGCATTCAGGCTTTTCCCATTAAATAAGGTTTTAATTGAAGGTTTTTCACAGATACTATAATGGGTTGAAGAAAATTTTTCTTGTTCTACTCATTTTGTTACAAACTACAAAATTTCATTCCTCTTTGTGGCTGAATAATACTCCATTGTTTCTATACACTGCATTTTCTTTATCCATTAATTTATAGATAGGTATCTTCGTTAATTCAATATCTTTCCTATTGTGAATAGTGCTGCAATAAACACAAATGTGCAAGTATCTCCTTGATATACTGATTTCATTTCCTTTGACTATGTCCACAGAAGTGGGACACCTGGACATATAGTAGATCTATTTGTAGTTTTTGAGGAAATTGTGCTGCTCTCTATATTGTATAATTTGCATTTCTTCCCAACAGTATATGAGCTTTTCTCTATATCTTTGCCAACATTTATTTTTCTGTTTTTTTATAATAGCTAAAGAGTGTAAGAAGATATAGTATTATAAAAATTATAATTTTCATTTCCTTTATGGTTAATGATATTAATCATTTTTTCATATATTTGTTGGCCATAGGTCTTTTGAGAAGTGTCTATTCAGATCATTTGCTAATTTTATTTGGTTTATTTTGTTGTTGTTTTTGTTGTTGTTGTTAAATTTTTTGAGTTCCTTCACTACTTAAAACATACTGCTCCACAGTGGTTGCACCAGTCTACACTCCCACCAGGAGTGGAGCAGGGTTCTTCTTTCCCCACAGCCCTGCCAGCATTTGTTATTAGTTGATTTCATGATAGCAGCCACTCTTTCTGGGGTGAGGTAGAATCTCAGAGTTGTTTTCATCTGCATCTCTCAAATGATTAGTGATGTTGAACATTTTTCAAACGTTCATTTGCTGTTTTGATTTCTTCATTAGAGAAATGTCTGTTCATTTAGGATGCAATTTTTGGATTGGGTCTTTAAATTTGGGAGGTCTGATTTTTTTTTACGTTCTTTTTATATTCCAGATAGTAGTAGACCTTTGTCCGAGGAACATCTAGTAAAAATTTTTTCCCACATCGTGGGCTGTTTCTTCACTCTGTTGGTGATTTCTCTTACTGTGCAGAGAAGCTTTTTTTTTTTTTTTCAGTACTGGGGATTGAACTTGGGACCTTGTGCTTGCTAGGTAGGCGGTGGAACCACCAGGCTAACTGCCCTGCCGCACAGAAGCTTTTCAATGAGATCCCAGTTGTTGATTCTTTGTGCTAGTTTCCATGTGACTGAGATTTTGTTCATAAAGTCTTTTCCTATGCCAATGTCTTCAAGAGTTCTACCTAACCTATCTTCCAAAAAACTAGGATTGAAAGTTCCATTTGACCCAGCTATTTCCCTGCTGGGTATCTTCCCCAAAGAATTAAAAGAATCATACCACAGTGATATATGTGCACCCATGTTCATAGCAGCACAGTTTGTGATAGCTAAATCTTGGAAACAGCCCAAATGCCCATTAACTGGTGACTGAATAAAGATGTGTTTTGTTTTATTTTATAAAATGGAGTACTACTCAGCCATAAAGAATGAGAAACTAGAGACATTTATAGCTAAATGGATGCACATTGAGGCCATACTCTTAAGTGAAATAAATAGGACACACATGAGTAAATACCAAATAGTTTCTTTGGTGTGAGAAACTGAAAGTGTAAATGAGGACCAAAATGTATAATAGATAATGTGTAATAGGAAGAAAAAGTTCAAAGGGGATGGGGAAATAGTGGTGGGGTAGGGAAAGAAAAAATATAAGAAAAGAAGGGAAAAACAGAAGCAAAGCTTTTGTAAATAGGGAGGGGTGGAGGGGTGAAGGGTTGGAAGGGAGGGAAGGGGAATGGGGAAAAACAAAAACCAGAACATATCATGTACAGGTACAAATCCTCAATGATGAATGTGATCGTAATGCAAACCTAAAATGTACCAATACACTTATGGAGAAAAAATACTGCTCCACTCTCTTCTTGTTTGCCATGGTGCAGATGAGAAATCTGCTGTCATCTGTGACTTCGTTTCTTGTGTGTGAAGCCTCTCCCTCATCCCCATCCCTGGGTTGCTTTTAAGATTTTCTTTTAGCACTGCTTTTTAAAGAAATTTGCTTATGATTGCTTTGGTAGAAAGTTCTTCATGTTTTCTTGGGGTTTATTGAACCTCTTAAATTTGTAACTCTATAGTTTTTATCAAATTTAGAAAAAAAACCCAAATTCTTCATGTATTTTTCCATCCCTCTACTTTCTTCAGGGAATCCAGTTACGTGAACTAATGTTCATGCTTGGAATTGTCCCACAGCTCATTTTATAAAATACTTTTTCTGTATTTTTTTTTAGTTTCAAGAAATTTAATACAATTCTGAGCAATGTTTATTTCTGAAATGTATGAGATGTGAAACATAATTAGAAAAATGCTGAAAACCAAAAGGATTCGTTCTTGCTTTTTTCTTTTTAAAAAAATTCAGACGCTGTGTCACATCAAGAAATTTCAAAAAGTCCCAGCAGCTGCAGCCTCAGTCGCCCTCAGAATCGCTGTCCCCGCTCCTCATAGGCACGGAACCCCACACTGAGGACAGCAGCGCATCCTCCAGGGGCTTGCTGGGGTTCTCCTCCAGGTCAGTCTTGACTGCTCCAGACTCGGACAATTTCCACTCCAACTCATCTCTTGTCAGATTCACGCCACTGAACACCAGAGGACCGATGAACTGAGCCTTGATGTCACCTTCAAGGTAGACGAATATTGTAGGCAGATTCCTATCCGGGTAATTGGGTATGCAGGTTGTTGAAATGGCCTTGACAAACTTGACATCAGGAAAATTCCTGGCAAGTCCACTGATGTGCTGATTTATCAGAGCACAGAGGAGAATCCCTTGCTTGTAGAGGTGCAAGACCACCCACAAGCCCTCACTGGCTTTGGTAACTTCATGAACATCATCCTTGCCAGAGATCTCCAAAACTTCTCCAAATTTATTCTTCAGTTGAGTTGCCTTCCACTCAGCCAGTCTTTGCTGCCTGTACATTTCAATAGCCCGTTCATCCTCCTCATTGAATTCATCTTCGTTATCCTCTAGCTCTTCTAAAGTTATATCTTCGTATGTTTTCACTACTGACTGCTGGAGGACCCTCTGCTCCTCCTCTTCTGCCTCCTTTTCCAATTCTTTCAGGCTTTTCTTTGAGGGCAGGATGCCCTTTCTGTGTAAGTTGTCATTCCATTCAGTGTCTGCACTGGGGTCTTGCATCTTGTCCGCCAAAGTATGTTTTTTGTTTTGGATGGTGTATGGCTTACCTTTTTGCTAACTACTTTTTCTTTCACAAACACACTGTTAATCCCATATAGTACACTGTTGACCTTATCTAGTAATGTTCTTTTTATTTCAGACTTCATAGTTTTCATCTGTAGAAGTATTACTTGGGTTTCTTTTTAATATCTCCTATGGCTCTACTTAACTTTTTGAACATATGGAAATAAGTTATAAGAACTATTTTAATACCCTTTTGCTAGTACAACATATGTTTCTGCTCTGGGTTGTTTCAATTGATTGATTTTTCCTCATTATAAGTCATATTTTTCTGCTTCTTTGAATGCCTATTAGTTCTTTATCGAATGCCAGACATTGCAAAGTTAACTTTTTTGGGTGCTAGTTGGATTAGCTAGTTATTTATTATACTTTCATATAAATATTCTTGGTTTTCCTTTTGAAACAAATCCCTTCAAGCCTTGCTTTTAAGATTTATTACACCAGATAACACCAGAGAGGTCTAGGAATAATTTTGCCAATTCTGATCTTTCTTATTCCATTGCAGCTGAAAGCAGAGGTTCTTTTTTTTTTTTTCCTCCTGGTACTAGAGGTTGAACCTAGAGCCTTCACACTGAACTCTCCAGACTTTTTTATTTTTTATTTTGAGATAATATTTGCTAAGTCCCTAAATTGCCTGTGTTAGGCTCAAATTTGCCATCTTCCTGCCTCAACCTCTCAAAGTACTGGAATTACAGGTGTGTGCCACCATGCTGGCTGACAAGTTTTTAATTTTAGGAAAACTATTGAGGGCCTAAAAGAAATACGTACTACATAAGGTGCCAGCATCTGGGAGTCAACACTGTTTATGTTAGTATTGCACTCCTTTAGGTTCTCTGGATAACCTTACTGTCATATAATGTGTTCTGTATTTAATAAATGGACACACCCATAAATAATAATCCACAGCTTCATTCTTTTACAGAATTTTGCCTTCTCCTTGATCCTAGTTTGGGTAAACTTAAGCCCAGATGTTTTCCTCTCTATTGCTGTGTAACAAATTACTTTAAAATAAATAATTTTTAAAAAATACTTCGTATTTTCACAGATTATAAATATCAAGAATTCACATAGAGCACAATGGTCTTGGCTTATCTCCTTTTCATAATGTCCCGGATCTCAGCATGGAAGTATCAGTGGATGAAGGCTGGGAATCATCTGGAGATCTCTTCATTCAAACATTTAGCAGTTTACACTGGTGATCTGCAGGAGACCAGCTTGAAACCACACTGAGCAGGCTTTAAATATTATTGATTTGGTTTATAATTTGGCTATTGATTAAAATTATGAGTCTTATAAATAGGGAGCGGTGGAGGGGTTGAAGGGAGGGTGGCGGAATGGGGAAAAAATAAGACCCAGGATACATCATGTAAAGGTACAAGTTCCCAGTGATGAGTTTAGATGTACTGTACATCTAAAATGCACCAATAAACTTAATGGAAAAAAAAAACAACTATGAGTCATTCCAAAGCGTACATGTGACTTGCCAAAGGAGCCTTTGGCTGACATATGGAGACAGAATTCCCTATGCCAGTGGTCACAATTGAAATCTAAATGACTGATAGGATTGTGACACCTCTAATAGCAAGAAAACACCGTGGCTGAGGAATTACAACTTTGTAAAGCCATCCTCCCAGATCAAACAGCTAGAGATAATCCAGGTGGCTTGTTAGCTATGAGCTGCAAGATAACACAGGTGGCTTGTTAACTGTGACCTGTCCTTCACAAGAAAATATTGTTCCTCCCTTTTACAGCCCGGCTCATTAGTGCATTAGTTCTGCAACTCTTTGCATTTGCCATTATGCCCCCTGCTGTGCTGTGTAAACAATAAATGTTGACAAGTTCCACACCTGTGGTCTTAGCCAGGAAGAGCTAAGACCAGGTCTCAGTCCCCAAATAATAAACTATCAGTCTTATTCTTTATTTCTTGTGATTTATATATTGTTCTTTCAGCCCCTGCTGTCGGGCATCCTCTGATAACTGGTCGGGCTATCAGTCCAGTAGTGATCATTTGCAATTGCATACATAGGAGTCAATTAGACCATAAAGTTATATGGTGACTTCCTAGGCTTGTGACGACTGATAAATTAGCAGACACAAAATCAATATACAAAAATCAATACCACTTCTATATGACAATGGCAAGCTATCTGAAAAAGAGAACAATCCTATTTACAGTAGCTACAAAAAAAGCCTATGAAAAATTTAGCCAAAGAGAATTCTACAATAAAGGTTATGAAGCACTGATGGAAGAAATTCAAGAGAACACTGAAAAATGGAAAGACTTCCATGTTCCTAGATTGGCAGAATTAATATTGTGAAAATTTCTATACTACCAAAGTGATCTACAGATTTATGCAAATCCCTATCAAAATACCAATGACATTCTTCACAGAAATGGGAGGAATTCTAAAATTTGTATGGAACTACAAAAGATCTTAAATAATCAAAGCAAACCTGGTGGGGTGGGAGGAGAGGCATCACTATCTGAATTCAAAATATACTACAAAGCTATATAGTAACCAAAATAGCGTATTACTGGCATTAATGCAGACACACAGACCAATGGGGCAGAATAAAGAATTGTATTAATGAGCATTTCATTGATGGGACAAAATACCTGACATATACAACTCAAAGGGTAGAAAGCTCATTTTTTTCAATATTATTTTGACACATAGTTTCAGTCATCTACAAGTGGCTGACTCCAAGCTGAAATATCATGTCAGAATGATGTTGGTGGAGGGAAGCTGCTTAATTCATGGTAGCCAGGAAGCAGAATGACAAGGAAGGAGCCAGAGGTGAAGAAACAAGGGATCAGACATATTCCCCAAGATTATATACCCATGACCCACCCAGATACACCAAGAAGTGTAGTTTACTAAACTCCTAGGTGTCTTTTAATCTAATCAAGTTGGAAATCAAGATTAACAGACACAAAAACCCAGAAAAAATGCCCATGCCTTTTCAACAAACTGATTTTTGACAAAATTATCAAGAATATAGATTGTGAAAAAGATAGTCTCTTTATTAAAATGTGCTAAGAAAACTGAGTATCTGTATGCAAAACAATGAAATGAGACCCCCATCTCTCACCATCTACACAAATGAACTCAAAATGGATTACTGACTTACATGCAAACCAGAACTATGAAGGTAATAGAAGAAAACATAGAGAAAGTACTTCAAGACATGGGCCTGGGCAAGGATCTTTTGACTAAAAGCATAGGCATAAAAGCAAAATAAACAAATGGGATTATATAAAACTAAAAAGCATTTGAAATGCTAAGGAAATAATCAACAAGAGAGTAAAAATAAAAGTCAAAAATCAACAAGAGATAACAGAATAAAGAGGGAAGAGTAACAGAGAATCTTTGTAAACTATCCATCCTACAAGAAGTAAATATCTAGAATATGTAAGGAACTCAATCCAACAGGACTAATAATAATCATCATCACAATCTGATTTTAAAATGAGTAAATTATCTGAATAGACGTTTCTCAAAAGAAGGCTTACAAATGGATAAGAGATATATGAAAAATGCCCAACATCACTAATCAGAATCCAAATCAAAACCACAAAGATATTATTTCACCCCAGTTAGAATGGCTACTATAAAAAAGACAAAAAAGTAACTAATTCTGGTGAGAATGAGGAATGTTGATGGGGCTGTAAATTCCCCTAGTGATGAGAATGTTAATTTGTGCAGTCATTATGGAAAAGAGTATGGAGGTTTTTAAAAAACTAAAAATAGAAATATTGAATGATCCAGAAATCCCACACCTGTGTGTATATATATCCAAAGAAAAAGAAATTAATATGCCAGATATATTTGCACTCTTATGTTCATTGCAATACTATTCACAATAGACAAGATGAGGAAACAACCTAAGGGTTCAACAACGGATAAACCAATAAAGAAATGAAATATATATACACAAGGAAATATTATTCAATGATGAAGAAAAATGTAATCATGTCATTGGCAACAACAAAGGTTTAGGGAAATTTGGTTAAGTGAAATAAATCAGATACAAAAAGACAAATACCACATGTTCCCACTCCTATATGGAAATTAACAAGTTCATCTCATGAAGTAGAGTCAAATAGTGGCTACCAGAGTGTGAAAAGAGGACAGATAAGTGAATACAGTATAGAGAAAAATGGCAAATGGATACAAAATCATCCTGGATAAGAAGAAAACTTTCTAATGTAAAAGATGGTGACTGCAGTTAACAATAATTTATTGTATATTATCAAATAGGCAGAAGAGAGGATTTTCAATGATTTTACCCTAAAGAAATTATGAATGTTTGAAGGTACAGATGTGTTAGTTACCTCATTTGGTCATTACATGTTGCCTATATCTGTCAAAATATCACTCTAAATATAAACATGTATAAATATTAAAATTAAAATGAATAAATAATAATATTGAGTGAAAGAAGTCAGATTTTAAGAATTATAAAAGAAAAAGAGGCAAAAGGTAATTTGAGGGTGAGGAATATATCTATTATCATGATTTGTGGCTATGGTCTCACAAGTCAGTGCATGTGTCAAAACTTATCAAATTGTATACATTAAATAAGTGCAATTTATTATATATCCACTATACCTCCACAAAATTACTTTAAAATTGAAGTGTCAAAAGTTTAAAATATGCAATTTTCTCCACTCTATGGCCTTTGTAAAAAAAAAAAACTTAAATCTGAAAAGGTAGCCTGTGAAATACAAAATTATTTCTCCAAAGTGAAGGAAGATTACAGAAAATCTTGGTCTATGAGGATACTGCCAAGAGCAAAGGTGATATTCAATATGTCAGGCATGTGGAGTTAATTAATGCTCTTTCAACTCTTCTGTCTTTGACTTAAATAGGGGCTAAAGACTCTCCTGGTAATAACAACTGGAACCTGCTCCAGTAAGTAGGTAAGAGACAATCAGA